AGACCAGTCAGCATCCTCCCAGAAACTGCCCTGCTCATTTTGGGTCCCAGTGAGCTTTGGTGAAAGAGGAGAAAAGGAGGCAGTCCGGCCCCGATGACGCGGCGATCAGAGCGAGGTGCTAGCATTTCGTTGGCTGGCACGTGCTCCAGCCGTGGGGAGCCTTGCATTGGCCAAGCCATGATGAGGTCAGCTTCAAAGTCACAGTGAGCACAGGTCGGGGCTGCCATCCCAGATGCTGTTTCTACTCCTTCCTGTCTTCCTATTACCATCACCAATGAAACAGGCAAGGACTAGTCGGATGCAAATGAGTGTGAGCTCGCTTTGCCTGTTTTGTACCATCGGGGTGTGACCCCAAATGCTTCTCACCAACACTGGTACGTACACACATGCTTGCTTGGCACGCACCTTGCAGTGTGGTAGCGAAACCCCTGCATTTCCAGCTGCCATTCCAATAGTTCACCAGGGAAGAGCAAGTTCAAAGTGGCAGAACCGCCAGTATCACATTGACACTGCTTATGTAGGATTTTCTTTTTCTTTTTTAAACTATGAAGGGTCTAGCAGATCTTAGATGAACAGATGTTTTTTTTTCCTTTTTTTCCAAAGTGTCACTTGTCAAAAGGAAGGCGCTTCCATCAATAGAAACAATGAAAGCATGTCTCAAAAACATATTTATCCCTCTAAGTTCTGAAAGCACAGGAGGGAAGAATAACAACATATTCCACTTTGGCTACAAAGTGCTAATTAAACACTAACTTCCAGTCTCCTGGAGGTAAAATATTAAGGTTATTTTTTAAATGACATGAGACATCACGACCTTCTTCTTCTTTCCATTGTTATAAACACTATTTAGCAGCCATAGCTGTTTAGTTATATGGGCATCTCAATGGTGTAAATATTATCAGCACAGTCATAAATATTTTCTGCCTGGTCCACAGACAGTGGGTTAAGGATCTGCTGCTTGTAGGGGTTGAGATCTACTTTAGGCTGCCTGCTGGCTACAAAATAATTACTTACACTCGCTAATGCCCAAGTCTGTTGGATTTAGCAGCAAGAAGTTCTTTGCTTTCACAAGTAGGGGGGAGTTGTTTTCTTATATGAATTTCTTTGTTGATGGTATTAGAGAGGATTAGGGTGGGGCTAAAGTAGTTGAAAATGTAATTAATCTAATCCCTAGAACAGCAATTATTTTTATATTGATAATTCTCTGTAACAACAGTGTTACAGATCACAGCCCTGTGAAATATTTACTCTCAATATTTCAACAGAAAGATTTCTCCTCAGGCTTTCTTCTTCTAGGACAACAACATTTTCGGCTCCTTTGTCCTTTTCTTTCTCTTTCACCTGAAATGCAGGCTTCCTTCTCGGGAGACCAGAGTAATATTTTCTTTATCCTGCTGACGTTCTCTCCATGCCATTGTCCCTCAGTAACTTATGTTAATGGCCATCAAATCATTAATCTCTTCAAAGAGCATGAGTAAGAAATAAGAAGTATCATTGATTTCTCTCTCTTTCTTTTTCGTATCTGTAGTCAATTGGTTCAGATGCTCGTGAAACGATTTATTTACTCATCAATTTCAATAAATTGTTATGCTGTTAAAATTACCACTAAGAAGGAGAAAGTCAGATGAAGGCCAAAACTGTCCTTCTGGTCAACCTCCGATCATCTCCGGTGCAAACTGGGAATTGTCCTGAATCTGCTCAAGTGTCACGTTATGGAGGCGAGGCTCTCTTCCATCTCCCAATAGAACGTGGCAACCAAAGTCCCTCCTCCAATGCTATTCTTCCCTTTAATGGGCTTTACTTTTCTCCATAGCCTGTAACATTATCAAATATTATACGTTTGTTTACTTGGTGCCTCTCCTCCAACTAAGACAGATGCTCTGTTGAAAGCAAGGACTTGGATGTGTTTACTGCTGGATCTTGGGAGCCCAGACCAGGGCCTTAACTATAGTGATGGAGCAGGCAATCAGGAATTATCGAGTATGGTAGGCAATTATCGAAGGCGTGAACTTTTCCTCTTATTGTTTCAGGCGCCTAAAGTGCCAGATCAGTGCAAAGCCACACAACTTTCTCCTTGTCCCCAACACAACTTTCTCCCTGTCTTGGCATGCATTTCGACAGCTGAGACCGTGACGTCAGCGTCAGCGTTCACCCCACGCTGGCTGTCCTGCTCAGCCCCAGCGGAAGTGTGTCCCCGAGATAAAAAGTGGGGCCTGGGTGTTTTACATGAGCATGTCTTCATCCAAGAGCTAAGAGTTTGGGTTTTGCAGAGCTGTATGGCACTCACATACTTACCATTTTAAGAGCAGTGCAGAGCAGAAGATTTGCAAGGATGCTCTTCGGAACTGGCTATGTGCCATAGGAGTAGGACTTCCCATGACGAAAAGGGGTCCTGCGGTCAGAGAAGCTCTTGAAACTAGGTGTTGCACGAGCTCGGGGAAGTTTCACTTTATGGCACCTTAGATGCATGGTCATGGGCTCTCTAACACAGAACCTTAGGCTGCGCTTCCCAAACTCTTTTGGTCTAAGGCCCTTCCTTTGGTACCAGCCAGGCCTGCTCTCGGGCTGGGTTGCATCATGGGGAGGCCATTGCCTTGGGAGTGGGACAGGCCAGGCCAGGACAGGGGCAGGAGGAGAGTGTCCTGGCTCTGCCCCTTACTGACTCTGTCATGTGACCTTGGGCAAGTGACTTGACACTTCTCTGTATCTCAGCTTCCTCATCAGTAAGGTAGGGACAATAAGGATTCCCCAGGATAAGGCAGCCAAGTGCCTGACCTGTGCACACTATGTAAACAGTGCCGACTGTCAACACCTTTGATGGGCTGTGGGAACAAATGCTTTCTAGGCAGACATCTCCAAGCCTATTCTCTAAGACGGACTTGCCAGTAGTGACTATTCCCAGAACCGGGCTGCTGTGTTTCCCCCTTTCTCTCTGCACCCTCTTCCCTCTGAGAAGTGCTGAGCATCTTTGCTGAAGTCAAAGAAACACTATCTTTCTACACGACTCGCCAAAGATGTCTGATAGCTCACGCACGCGATCCCGCAGGGTTGCTATCCCGGGTTTTGATGCCCTTGACCTCAGATGAAGATGCTTTTGTCAAGAGGAAGGTGAAAGCGACCAATCTAACAGTCATGCAGATGGCTACGGGCTGATAGATGTCGAAGGGAACTATGTTTTTTGGTGTGTTTTTTTTCCAGTAAATGGCGAATGAAGGTGTGATTTGAGTAAATCTGACCCCTTCCAGTAAAATGTGCACTTACATATATTTAGAATGTATAAATGCCGACAGATTCCACAATATTTATAGCTCTCCATAAAAAGCCTTTGCCTGTTTGCCGAGCTTTGCTTTTGGCTCTCTGCTCTGCTTAAAAGAGTTTAAATAATAATACATTTGGTGCTTTATTCCACCTGGAACAGAAACTTATTTTCCCCTCTCCGCTCGTTTTGAAAGGGTTACTATAAATAGTGCCACAGTCGCTGGGACCAGGAATAGGGAATTGAAATTCGAGAGCAAAGTACAGCAACATTTCCATTATCACTGATGCTTTGGATGTATTTCTGAAACAGTTCTGTTCCTCAGATAACGGACCTTCTCTTCTTTCTCTAGCCCCCTTCTCAGTTCTCCGTGAGTCCCCCAAACCTGTTGCGGGCATCGGGGTCCGGTTGCATTAATGGGGAAGACGGAGTGAAAGTATTAGCTGACTGGGGAGGTGACAGTTACCCCTGGGGAGGCCAGAGCAGCTCTCCGACATCCGTCTCCCATTTCACACGCGTCAGCTGGTGACTGAGCGTCCATGTCTAAAGTGTGAAACCATCATGTGAGACCCAGCTCAAGCATCCTGCAGGTCTGGAGGCAAAGCCAGCTCCTAGTGGATGAAAAAGGGGGAGGAGGGAATCTTAATGTAATTACAAGAGAAAAACTAAAGGTAGCATCAGAGGGTTAAGTCTTGTAATCACACAGGACAGGATTGGCCAGAAACATCTGCAAAGTAGGCTCCAAAGGACACCACTTGTTTCCTTAAATGCAAAATAAACAGAACTCGGGAGCCGGGTCCTTTGCCACAGAAGCTCCTGATGAAAGCTGAAAGCAGCTATAGGGTGTGGTCACTAGTTGTGGGGTAGCAAGGAGACAGACGTCCAGCTTCCTGTTGGATCAGACTGTGAAGGAAGTAGCCTTCGTGAGAGGGAAAACGATAATATCAGTCAACTTCTGTGGACCGCTGACTATGGCCAACACAGAGTGACAAGTCAGTGGCTCCTTGGCTCTTTGCCACACCCTCCAAATTTTATGCTGAAACATCCTGTTCTGCTATGTGGGAGCACATGCCCACGCCCACGTCCTCCCTAAGCCATCCCCGTACCTCTAGCTCACCAGAGCCAGTAGCACACCGCATCCTAATGATTTGTGGTCAACCAAGTACATGCTTTCAAAGCAGGCTTGATGAAGCAGGGACCCAGTTAAGTGTGATGGATTTGAGGCAAAGCCAAAAAGAGCCGCAATGTGGCATGGGGGTGTCGTTTCCCAAAACAGGACACGGGTATCTATGGTTCATTGCTGATCCTAAAGCTTTGCTAGAAAAACGGCTTTTTTAAAGAACCGTGCTCTTGAGGAACGTCCTTGAGGTGTGCAGAATTTCCTTGCTTTTCCGGAAGCATCGTTCTGAGAGGACACAGCCGTATCGAGCTGTGAGACAGTCACTCGGTGCCTTTGTGCTGCTGGGACCAGATTATGGGTCTAGCAGACACGGGATAAATAAACTATTTTCCTTTCTTAAAAAGCGTGTGGAAGGCAACAAGACCAGAAAATTAGCATACCTCTTCTTCCTCATTTTTTAAAGCAGTTATACAGGAGATTCCAGTTGGGGCAAATAAAAATGATTAGTGCAAACAGGTTTTTTTTTCCCTTTTTTCCCCTAGCTGCTTCCTCAGCAACAGCAATATGGCGGGCCTTGGGTGGAGCCCGTGTTTTGACGCACCCTCTTTTCTTCTTCTCCCATAGGGCAACCCCTACATGTGCAATAACGAGTGTGATGCAAGCACCCCCGAGCTGGCACACCCGCCTGAGCTGATGTTTGATTTTGAAGGAAGGCACCCCTCCACCTTCTGGCAGTCTGCCACCTGGAAGGACTACCCCAAGCCTCTCCAGGTGAACATCACTCTGTCTTGGAGCAAAACCATCGAGCTCACAGACAACATCGTCATCACCTTCGAGTCCGGGCGTCCAGACCAGATGATCCTGGAGAAATCGCTCGATTACGGGCGCACATGGCAGCCCTATCAGTATTACGCCACAGACTGCCTGGATGCCTTTCACATGGACCCGAAGTCCGTGAAGGATTTATCCCAGCACACGGTCTTGGAAATCATTTGCACCGAAGAGTACTCCACGGGGTATATGACAAACAGCAAAATAATCCACTTTGAGATCAAAGACAGGTTCGCGTTTTTTGCTGGGCCGTGGCTACGCAATATGGCTTCTCTGTACGGGCAGCTGGATACAACCAAGAAACTCCGAGATTTCTTTACGGTCACAGACCTGAGGATCCGGCTTTTGAGACCAGCCGTCGGGGAAATATACGTGGACGAGCTCCACCTGGCACGTTACTTTTACGCAATCTCAGACATCAAGGTGCACGGGAGGTAAGAGAGCGTCTGTCCCGGGGGATGAGGATGGGGGATTCACAGACAGTGCCAGGGTGGGGGGCCGGCAGCAGTAGAGGGCTGTTTGTCTTTTTCTGCTGCCACAAATTCTCGAGAACACCTGCCTGTGGGTGGGCCCTGAGGCACGTGGGACCCTTGTGACTCAGCAGCCACTTGTGACCCCAGACTTGCTGTCGTTAGACCTACCCTGGTGGGATTTCTTAGAATTGGAACAACAGATGGGCAGGGCAGGGTGGGGGAAGCATCTTAGAAGAGGAGCTGGAAAACAAGAAAGGCATCTTTCTGTTGTTTTCAAATGCAAGAGAGGGTTTCAACATGGTACAGCTCTCTCTGTTTTGCTACATCGTACAGAAAAGCTCTGGAAATGAAAGCTGCGTCTCTTGGTGGGAAAAAAACGCACTTGGTGGAAAAAAGGGAGGTCGTATTTTTCAGGGTTTTGGATGCTATTGTCTTAAAAAGACATGCTGCCATTTGAGATAGGGATCTGAGTGAGGTTCCCTTCATTCTGTGGGTCAGTTACAGATGGCCCACTGTTCAAATGCTGTGGGTCACTGTCGGGCATGTCCTTGGTTTTGACAATGTACTAGAGACACGCTGAGCCTGTTTCCAAGTGTTTGGAAGATGTTTAAATGAAAAACTTCAATAACAAGAACCAGAACCACCAAAGTAGAGGTTGTCCACCCAGTTTTTAGGTGTGGTGTGTCATCAAAAAAACCAGCTGGTAGAGGTTGGATCTTGAGATAATTAGAGTTGGGAAAACCAAAGGTAAGTGGAATAACAGCAAAATGGAAAAAAGCGAGAGCAAAGCCAAGTGGTAATCATCCTAAAAATGCCAGGGTAGCTATAAATCAGAATATATGAAGATAAGGATATGAACAGTACATAAACCAAACAGGTTTAATTACATATGAAATTTAAACAAATAAGGCAGGGTTACAAACCAGCATTCCTGAGGGTAGCCCAGGCCTCAGATGCTGGACCTTGAGATCTTGAGGCTCCCGGCCTTTCGGAGAGCTGTCTCAACTCATCTTTGATCATAGTGCTGTTACTGTGTTTGTGTGCTGGAGGGAAGAAGGGGTGGCAGCTATGAGGGGGTGGGCCAGCGTGGACACACAGGACGGTGTGGCGGGCATGACCTCAGTAGGGAGGTCAAGGTCCCAGACAGTGTCTGGACTCTGGGAAGTGGCAAGAGTGGGTGGCCACCTGCTCTCCAGCTTTGGTCCAGCTTCCTGTTTCTCCCGGAAGAATCGAGAATCTTTAGCAATGGAACCTCTTTAAAAAGTCTTAACCAAGGTCTCGGTCATGGAGGACAAGGATATCTTTAAAGCGAAGTAACGTTTCTGAGAGAAATAGGCTCTGGTGCAGTTGTGAGTTTATGGGTTCCAGACCATAGAGGACAGTCCCCGTGTGAGCAGAACACCTCAAGGGTACAGTAGGAAGCGTAGCCTTACACAGGCGTTTGCTGTCTATGGTGAAATGCAGCCATTATGGTCATGACTATCTTACCAGAGGCTGATCAGTTTCCGGGATCTTATTTGGGGGGGTCTGTAATTATACAAATAATTGATGCTGGTATTATTAACAGTAGCATTCCACAGCAAAGCAACTCGTGTTCTGCACAGCCACAAGAATAAATGTCAAACTTCATACGCGGAGGTTTGAGTTCACTAGATCCTCGTGGGATCTCCATTGTTAGGCAGAGTTCTCTAGGTCAGTTAACCTGAAGTTCGAGAGCCCCTCAACCTGAGCCAAAGTCCCTGCAGCCGACTCCCCACCCTCACTTTCCACGTGCACAGAAGGCAGTCTTGTGAAGGGTTTGGCTGGGAAATAACCATGGTCAGGGCATATTTCTCCTATTGCATATTCACTTTTGTGCCTTCTGATTATTTTTAAAAGAGTGGAAATACACTCAAAAGCTACATGTTTGTATACATTCTCTCCTGGGGTCAGACACATTATCTCCTGCAGACAGGATGTCAGAAATGTAAAATCCCACCAGATGCAACGCTTCCCTTTTATACTGAACCCTGGTGGTGTCCACCAACTGTATTTCCTTGGCTCCAAGGAGTTCAGAGGGGCCCTCCCACTCTCCCTGGGACTCACCTCCACTGTCTTTTCCTGGCCACCAGTCAGCGATCACTGGAGAGCCAGCAGCCAGGCAAGAGACAAAGGTGCAGGAGAGGTGAGCCCCTTCCTTAAGGTCCCCTTCTGTCACCTCCAAATTCTGTCCAAATTCCTCAGGGCAAAACCGACGTTGGCATGCACAGTGCGAGGCACCAGATGGCTGGGGTATTTTTAGTCTTAGGGGAGGGACTAAGAAGCAAGGCTTGAAGGCTCAGGCGTGTCTCCAGCTTCTCAGTTATATAAGGATCTCGGAACCACTGAAGGGAACTGCTGCCTATCTCACAGATCTCTCCGTACAGGAGCTGGTAGACGTTTTACCCTTGAACACTCCAGCCTGGTTTGTCTTCTTGTTACACGGCACAGCACCTATGGGAGCATTCCTGGATGATCTCTAAAAGGAAGTCCCAAAGGTTCCTTTTCAAGAATATCACAAATAGAAACTTTCCGAAAGAGCGGCTTTCGTCAATGCCTCCCTTCTCCATGCGTGGAATTTACTTGCAACACCCAGCGAACCGCCTTTCCCATGCCTGCATGGGACCGTTGCAATGATGTTTTTCTGCCAGTCACTCCACTAGAATGTGGGACCTGGCATGAGTGACGTGGGGAAGGGAGGGAAATCGCCACAGACTTGTGGACAGAGAATCAATCCAAGCTTTTTCACCTTGAAATACGAAGTTGTGAAACTAAAGCCCTCTGAGTTGACCGTGAATTCCAGTTCTTTCTTTTTTGCGTACCAGTGTTTGTGCTCACACCTGCTACTACTGTGTGGTGTAAAACTAACGTTGTGATTGTCATAAGATGAACGTCACATTTAGGTTCTTGTTAGCAGGTGACAGCACCCATATTCCCGTTGTAAACATCGTAGCCTCTCTGGCTCTGTGTTTATTGTGTCCCCACTTCCTTCCTCTCGTCCTGTGCTCGTTAAGGTCCTGGAGGAGAAGGTGGCTGTGAGCGATCGGGGTTGGGGGAGGGGACCCCGGCAGTCCTGGCACCATCCAATTGGCCTGATAATCTGTGCGGACTAATTCAGACTTACGGATGTCCTCCTTCAGTAAATCAGGCTGATTTTCCCTAATGAATAATAGACGAGTCAAGTGTTCCAGTGCCTTAATTAGAGAGTGGCTCTTTCAGTCTTGATCTCATTTTAATTTACAGGGTAATACTACAATAATATCACTAATGGAAGGTACATTAAAGGACCTCAAGTAGCATTAACTGTATTAAATGACAGTAGTTGTGTTAATTAACTGCTGAAGCAAGATGGTTTTAATGGCCAAAAAGGTCCGTCTAATGCATAAATAAAATCTACCCAAATGAGAGGTGAGGGGAGGAATGGACAGGAGATGTTTGTTCTGAGCATCTTTCCATGCTGACAGCGAGTCTAAACTCATGGGCTGTTAAATATAAGGTCTGAAACATTTTCTCAGTTACACATGGAAAGTTTTTATTTTTACGTGTTTTGTTTTCTTCTGAGCATTTCATAGTTCAATGGAAAAGCTGACCCTTGTATTTGTCAGAGGCATTGATTTTATAGACTGTAATAAACTCAACCTTATTTATTGCTTCTTTGAAGTGACCAGTTTCAAGGAAGTGATGAGGTTTATTGTGATTGTAATAAGTGTGAAATCTGAAAGACACATGAGCGTATGAAAATATTGCTCATTTATGGGTAAGGTGTGCTGTTGGCAATGAGTGAGGATACTGGTTCCAACAGCAGATCATAGGAATTCTTTTTTAACCTTAAGAACTTGTAGGACAGAACTGTAAGCACTTTTCTCTGTAGCCTGGAGAACTCACACCCACATCCCCCCTCCCCGCCTTGTTCCACAATATCCCCAAACAGATGCACTGGTAATTTTCCTCAGTGGTGTTTACCCAGGTCTTACCCTGCACGGCGCCTACCCATGCTCTTTACAGGCCGTTAGCGCACGGTTACTGTTTGTGGAGTTGACTTTGACTCTGTTGTTCATCCCTGGGAAGGAAGCCACAGAGCACTAGTGCAGAAGCTCCACTTCCACAAGCTTTCTGGTACTGCCCCAGCTCAGAGCCACACTGTCCCTGTCCAATCCCAGGGCCTGGAAAGGGCCAGGGACAGAGCCACTGGGGGTCAGGGGTAAGGCTGGCCCCTTCGCTGTCACTCCCAGTGGGAATCAGCGATGTCTGTAAACCCTCGCTGTCTGAATGTCGCCACCTTGGTATTTGTTGTGATTAGCACAAAAGGAGGTTGAACTTGACTTTCCTGAATCAAGGCTTCCAAGTGGTGACTAGAGAAATATGTGACATTAAGCAAGCAAGAATGCCGCGGGGGAGTTTAGAGGTGCAAAAGCAGCAGGGCGTTCTTCGTGTTTTCTCAGATACTTTGGGAAAATATCATGTAACACAGGAGGGATCTGTGGATGACAAAAGGCTTCCCAGTCATCCCGCAGGTTCGCTGAGTGTGTTTCCCGCCCACGGCTTGAATACATCCCGCAGAATATTTACTCCTCACCTCTCGTGTGAGAGGCGCCAAAGCATCAGGTCTGGCATGCGTTCCCTCTTCCCATTGAGTCCTAATTATTGAAGTTGAGTGTTACCACTGCTTAACAGATTCTGCTTTTGTAACACCTTTCCATCAGCGGTAAATACTCACCCTGCACCCTGGGCCAGGCGCTGGGTGAGACGGTGGACATATGGAGATGCACAGGTGTCGCCAGTGCTCGAGGAAAGCGGATGTCCAGGGGGGCACAGACACGCAGGCAGAATAGGATGGCAACGGGGGAGGGGGGTGGGTGCTTTTGCCACGTGAGCGTGGAAAGTGCGCTGGCAACAGAGAGCGTGCTAATTTAATCCAGAAAGCCCAGCAAAGTCTTTGATGA